AACGACGGATATGGAAACATTTATGCTTTCTAAGGGGTGCAGGACATCATTCTGTTATTGAAATATGTCGGTGTATATGGTTACATATTCAAATGGAGAGAAGTTAATATTATGATTCACATATTACCACATGAGTTTTTAAAAATGGTTTGAAACATCATCTCCACTAAAATTTCTCATAGGAAGGCAATGCCAGTGACAGAATGATATAGATGTTTGGAATGAAGTTAACCAGAGTCTGAATCCAAGCTTTTTCATGTTGTGGCGGAAAGACTTCCTCTACCTGAGGACCACTGAAAATCCCCCTTGCTCCTTGTTCTAAGTTATGGAGAGAATATCACGTAGCTCAGCTGGTACAGCCGACAGGATGGGGTGCCTTGGTTTTGTCTCAGCAAGCAAACATTCCATTGTGCCTTTGTTATAAGAGGTTTTTTTAGAGTTTGGAAAATGAATATTTTGATACATTGTTATTCCATAAGAAATGTATGTCAGTAACACCAAGACATCTATTACCAAGAATACTTCCTCCTTCATTCAGTTTTAATTAAGAAAAATAAATTGTTTTTTCCATTTAATTTCCAGTTTTTAAAGGTGCACTCTATTTTCATTTGAACTGATTTTATTTAAGGAGTCATATGAAAAACACCTGCATGTTATAGATCAAGTACTAAATGGTCTGAATTAGTGAGGCTTTTCTGTACTGAAAAATAAAATAAATCAGCAGGACCGCTATCACTTTTTCACTTCTCAGGCTGCTTAATTAATGCCGCTCCTTGAGTTCTTAAAAATAATCTAATTAGTCACTGAGAGGAGAGGGCAATGTTGTAATTCACTGTATTAACAACCACTGCTAACAATAATAATATCCTTGCGCCTCACTGTCTGCTAAGACGGGGGAAGATGAGAGAAGAGCGATAGTGAACTAACAAAGAACTGAGTTTGCGGAGGGATGGAGGTGGTGGCCCTGCAGCGCTGCAGCCTCCCCTTCCATCGGCCATTGATCCAGCATCATTGGTACCGCACTTGGGGAACCAAAGGACTAAACAACCTGCCTCTTCAACCTGCAGCAGATTGGTGACCATCAGAGGCTGATGCAAGAGACTCTTCATCTCTCCAGCCAGTTGCCCAAGTGAATTACCATCCTCTGTACTTTTTGGAAGATCTGAGGGGAACGGACCAAGCGGATTTGGCAGTGATAGATATCAGAGGTCCAGCAGACAGGCTAGGGCCAGGGCTGCACAGGAGAGCTTTCTGGAAGGCACTCGAAGGACTTAGTACTGGGGGAGTAAAAGGAAAGGACAGTGGCATTGGCGTAACCTGTGGTGAGGCTGAGGTCTGCCACTTCCAGGTTTCATCTCAGCAGCAGACAGACCCACAGAGGACCTCACTCTAGGACCATTTCCATGGCAAGGGACGATCTGTTACTTTTTTCCAGTTTTTCTATAGGGAGAGGCTTAGCATTTAAGTATTAAATTAAACTAAATGTCCTTATTTCTGCTTGTTCTCGTCATAGTACAACATGGTGCTTTATTTTATGTGACGCTAAGAAATGAAAGCAGCATTTTAACAAGTTAGAATAAGTTTGTTTTCACCTTTATAAAAACACAAGCTTCGGACTAGGCTGGCCACCCCCAGGTGGTCTCCCCAACATCTCACGGTGATGAGAGGCGTCAGTTTTCATTTGCAGTCCCCTCTGGGACCAAAAATGGACCCTCATTTAACAGTTTCTGTAGAGCTGCTCTAAATTGGCCTCATACTTTTTCTTAACAAAATTTAAAGTTGAATGTTTTGCAAGCGGTTGTACCAAAATTATAAATATAAACAGATGTATAGATTGGAGCAGCATTAGACCTCTGGTCTGACTTTTGGTTGTGGATCAAAAGACATTAACTGTGGCAGTCACTGTAAATCAGGGACTCAGGGACAGGAGGCAAGGTGCTGGTGCTTGGTGCACCCCAACAGAGCTCCTCAGCAGCGGCCTTGGAGGTCAGGCTGGGTGTCTTCCATAGCTGTGATTTCAAAATACAAACATATATTTTGGAGGGGGTGCATTTAGCAAGATGTTTGACAAAGAGCTCTTCCCCCTCTCCCCTTCTCCCTCCCCCCGACAGCTATAAAATATCTATATATGTATATTTTCCCTGTTCAAGCAGTAAACAATACTGAAGACGTTTTTAGACCAGCCATTGCCATCAAAGCTGTAGCCAGTGGGAGGTGTCTTTTGTTCTCCATGTTAAGATTCTTGTTTCAGTAATCTGATGAGCCTAAAACCATCTGATTTTCGTGGTGAATCAGTCTTACTCCCTGTGAGGAATTTAGCAAATGGCAAGAATCTCTATTCTCATTCCAACTCCTACAATGCATTCAAGATCAGGAATACCGAAATGTTTGATACAGGGCCTTGAAAATCAGTGGGTGATGTCGCCATGGTCAGTGAGAGAGGTGCAGTTGGTAAAACTCATCTCAAGCACTTTAGCAGCTTTCTTGCTTTGCAGGCCAGGGTCACCGGGAGCAGTGCACTTGCTGTTTCTGAGAACGCCACTCCCAGTTTAGCAGATCAGGTGCCCCATCGGGCTGTGCTGCCATCACTCTTCTCTCCCTCTGTGAATGCGCACACCCAAGAGCTCAGGGAAACGTGCAGGTGCCATGCAAACTCAGTGATAAATTCCTCATCTGTGTAACTGCCATCCAGGCCAAGAAATGGTGCTGTGGTCTCGGGCCCCTGGGGGAATACACATTTTTGATGCTGTCATTGATGCTGAGGACTCTTCTGGTCCTTGAGTTGCCATCCTGGACAAGTCTCAGAGGAGTTGGACAAAGAGTCCTAGCTTCTTTTTTTGTGTTTGTTTTTCATAAGGTGGTTGGGTGTGAGGTAGGGAAGAAATTGCTGCCATATTCCTGAGTCACGGAGGAAGCATACTGATGATGAAGGAAAAAAGTTAATCACTCTAGGAAAGTGGGTGAGAGGGATGGAGGGCGTAGGCTGATGCTAGAGACCATCTGTCCCATTAGTCTGCGAATATTGGGCTACCTGGGAAGACACAGTCCCTATTTCAGAGCAGGAGCACGCTCTACCTGGTGCACCACAGGCATCCTCAGGTCTTTGAAAGGGAAGTTACCTTTCAGATAATAACAGGCTGGTTGGGGGTAGGAACACTTCACTGTAGGTGGACTGTAAAGTAGTACACTTACTATGGAAAGCAACATGGAGTTTCCTCAAAAACTAAAATTAGAAATTCCATGTACCTAGCTGTCTACCTTCGAGGTATCTTCCCAAAGAGTTAAAGACATCATACCACGAACATGCGTGCATACTCATGTTCATAGCTGCACAACTCCTAATCGCTAGATCTCCCAAGCTGCTTGTATCTCCATCAACAGATGAACAGATAAAGAAAATGTTGTACATATATGTAATGGGGTACTACTCGGCCATGAAAAGAAGAAATGTGCGTCATTTGTAGGGAAAGGGATGTGCCCTGACACAATCATGTCAAGTGAAATAAATCAGATAATGAAAGTCAAATATTGTGTCGTTTCTCTGATGTGAGAAACCCAGAGTATAAATAATTTACAGTGTAAAATTAAAGATGAATGACAGGAACCAGGGAGATGGATCTTTTGCCAGTGGAGAAGGGATCTAGAGATGGAGGGAGGAGGTGGGGGAAGTCAAAGGGAAATAGAGTCAAAGTGTGCTGTGCACATGAACCAGCCCTGCACAGTGAGTGTAGTCACTGGGTTTTGCAAACATGCACTGATAATTTTTTAAGGGTAATATCTTTATCCCTAGAGGGTTAGGAGGACTGTTACTAAGATACATAGTGCAGTCAAAATACATGGTGAGTGTTTAAATTTTTAAAAAATATATCACCATAAAAGACATTGCCCTAACCCCACCTTAAAATGGTCCCCTCACTTCAAACACACTTTTCCATTGTCCTCACCACGTTGTGAAACAGTTCTGGAAGTCCTCTGTCGAGAGTGTCTTTATGAGGTGCAATCAAAAATGCAGTGAGTGCTGCTGCCAAGGAAAGGCCGGCTCACAAATCATCACAGCACACCCCCTTCCACCTTCTTCTCCACGTCTGACACCATGCAACTTCTGGCTCTTCTCCAAGTGAAAGTGACCCTGAAAGGTAAACGTCTTGAGTTGACTCAGGACAGCAAGGCAGCCATGATAGCACAACAAAAGACACTGATGAAAGAGGACTCCAGAACTGCTTCAGAAAGCAGTTGTGTCCAAAGCGAGGGAGTATTTTAAGGGAGAGTGATGCCAATATGTCTTTTACTATAATAATTTTTATTGATATATTCAACCTATTTTTCAGTCACACCTCGTGCGTGTCTTCATTATTCCTTTCCTCTGTCTTTCCCTCCTCACCTGCTTCTGTAGTCACTGAAACATGGATCCATGAAGACAAAGTAGAAGAGAATTAGAGATACAGAGGACTAAATCATAAGTAACAAGAAGAAACTTAAGAGTGTAAATTCTTAGGAATTCAAGATGCCCCTAGCTGTGCTTTCTGTTTGGTTTCATAGTTTGGGTTTTGTTGAGTGTCGAGGTCCTGGCCAAATATTAAAATATTATTAAAAGTTGGTGCTTTTCAGAGTTCTCCATGAAGCTCATGAGGTAATAGAAATAAACACATTTGTACAGTAGATCATGGTTTAAAGAATGTTCCTTACAGACTTGGTCTCTCTTGGTCCTGTGAGACTGCAGTGCATTGTATTGTGCCTGTGTTATGTGTGAAAGCAGAGAGGCCTGCGGAGATGGAACAACTGGGCCCACCCTAAGAGGTAGGACTGGACGTCCAGGTGAGATGGACAATTCTTCCATCGTTACCTCAACTGCAGTAGGTCCTGGAAGATGAATCCAGAGTGCGCAGGTGACCCTTCCTGGGACTTTGTTGACAACCAAACACTAAGGAGAGCATAGTTTTCATAGCTGAAGGTCTCCCCCTCCCTCCACCCTGATGTATGCTTTCATGTTCTCCTTTCAGGATTTGTTGGTGAAAACGCCCAGCCCATCCTAGAAAACAACATTGGAAACAGAATGCTGCAGAACATGGGCTGGACCCCAGGGTCGGGCCTTGGCCGAAGCGGCAAGGGGATTGCAGAGCCAATCCAAGCCATGCAGAGGCCCAAGGGGTTAGGACTTGGATTTCCTCTTCCAACAAGCACTCCTGCAACTCCTGCCTCTGCTTCAGGAAAATCCCCCTGAGAAGAACAGCAAGGAAGAGTTGTGTCACAATTTTTTATTCACCTACCCCTTTGCTCTGAATCACTGAACACTTTCTGACTTTGAAGAAGTTCACATTGCCTCAATCTCCTCCTGGTTTCCCAGTGCACAGGCCTGCCAGGGGTTGGAAAGGGGAGCTTGTCGCTGTCCGTGTTGCTAAAGTGAACAACTGCACCTTGTTTTATTTTTGCTTTTGTTTTCAGTGATTCCCAGCTATTTCCTGGTAGAAAGAGCAGTTGACTTCCCTTACTTATCTCGGTCTCAGTCGTTGATGCCTGCTAGTGTTTTGTTCAGTCTGAGTATGCATGTGATGTCCGAACCCATGTGAGCACCAATGGCCTCCAAAATGGGATTGTGTCTCTTGTTGTCCCCTCCTCCAAGTCCTAAGCAAAACCCTGAGAGGCTGGGTGACTTCATACTCCTTGAATCTGGCTTAATTTTATATCTTTGGACAACGTAGTATGATGTTCGCAGTTAGCAAAGAGCAATTAATATTTGCCTCAGACATTTTAACAAAAATCGACCTCTTCATTGTTATCACCAGAGTGCCCTCAACGTCGCTTTAGTGCAGATGTTACACATTTTACCTCATGCAGCATGTAACATAATTGTTGAAAGGAAAATGTATTTTTAAAACTCACCATGAGCTGAACTGTAAATTCTGTTCCTCCTGACATCTACCTCTCTCTTCCCAAAGGCTGATATTTTTTTAAAATCAACTCAAGTGTAAGACACTGATTTTAAATTTTAATCACTGGAGTAAATCATTAGACTATTGAATCAATTTATTTGAAGGGTTAAATGGCTCTCCCAAGAATTCAGATTTCTGGCAGTGGCCTGACCCCTTTACAAGGTGAACAAAAGAAAGTGAAAGAAACATCAATGCCCTTTTTAAATCTAAGCTGTTACTTTACAACTAAGCAAAACAAGTTATTTTTATTTTATGCTTAATATTGAGTTATTTCTCAGTCATGTGCTTCTCAGCATCAGAAATTCTAAATTACCCTTAGTTTGACGGGCTGACGTGTTAATGGTCTTAATGACCTTCATCATTAAGAACAAATAATTACTGTGTTATTCTATTTACAATGGCCTGTATTTCTTAAATAAAGGTCAAGGCAGCCCATATGAATCACTTGTCTAGTATTTTTTTAAATTTTGTAAGTTGTCCAAAAAGAGTTTTTAAAGGCGATAGAGAATGGATCTTCACCCAGTGGTCCCCTCAACAAAAACGCTTCCCTGCCAACTTGAGGAGGAAGAGGCACCCTCTGATTGCAAAGACTTGCTGGTTTGCCAGATGTGTACATTTCCTTTAAGAGTTGTCTTTTTTCCTCAGGACTTGTGGCAAGAGAAGAGGATGTGGAGGGGACTGTAGACCGCCAGACTTGCACCTTGAAGCATTCATATGAACTAAATTGACCTTAGCTGATTGTTTTCTGAAAGTTTGTCACTAAAAATGTTTGAACTTCTTTGTCTAAATGCTCCCAGTGTTTCTGTAGGGAGTAATGGTGGAGATCGTGTATGGAGTTTTAAAACTTCTCTGTCATGGTGTATGGTGTTCAAAGATCTACTGAAAATTTGTTGAGTTTTTTTTTTTTTTAATTCCATTTCCTTCAGACCTTCTGAAATCTTAGCATTTCAAAAAGCCCAGTTTTGAGCCCCTAGTAAACAATGAGGCTGCAACAGGGCCGCTGTGTGCCACCCCTGAGGACGTGGCTGTTGCTTTTCTCCTCATCGTGTCCTTATGGTTGCCAAACCCTCACAGTAGGGGACACCGTGGGAGAGGCCTTAATTCAATAAGCAGTCTTTACCAGGGCTTCTTTTTGTCCCCTTCTGCACAGGCACAAATCTGCTGAAATAACTCCTGAAAGATGGTCATGCAGCTTCCCAAAAAGCGCATCTTCCTGTTTTCTAGGAACAGAGCGAGTTCTTTATCTGACCCCTAGAGCCCTCTATGCAGCACCAGGAGACTTAACATGTCTCGAATTGGAATCCACACATCAGCACTCAGGGTGGAGAAGGCTCACTCTCTCGGGCCTGCCCTCAGGACCAGTCCTGAGAAAAGATGCTTGGTGTTCTGGTCACACTGGGTTTCCCTGGAGAAATGAATGCAATCATGAAGCATTTAATGTGTCTTTCTAGAACACAAAGCACACTAACTTGTGTTTCATATGTAGTTATATTAATTTTTGTTCAAAAATATGTCCCTAGATCCCAAAGTGTCCAAAACAGCTCATAGTTTAGAAAGCATTGTTCAGAGTTCCTTGAAAAAGTGGCACCTGCATGAAGCCATTTTACCTTCTACAGATTAATTCATTGCGCTGCAAGCTATTTTCTGTGCATAGATCTCTTCCCTCCCTATCCAATGACCCATTTCCCACAGCAGCCTAGAGAGGCAGGTGTGACCACACTAACAAGTGGAATGTTTTCCGTGTGTATTTGTTTTACTTGATATGAGCCAGACTGTGAGCTGCGGTCATTTTCCTTCCCTTATCCTCAGTACCATTTTTAAGGCTGCACACCCTTCAGATTTCTCTGCTTTTATTTTTTAATTATCTGATACCTCTTTAAAAGAAAATTGCTAACTAAAATTTACCAGTTCATTGGTCTTAGCATTTGAAGACAGATTTTATATATTGTGTTGTGATTATCAAATAGGAGTTAAAACAGTGCTGGGCATTGCAGCCCACTCCTGAACTTGGAAGGCTGAGGCAGGAGGATATCCAAGACTTCCAGGCCAGCCTGTGCTATTTAGTGAGTTCGAGGCTGGCCTCAACTACATCATGAGACCCTGTCTCAGAAAAACAGTAGGGTTGCCGTTAATATGTCCATATAAGTATATTTATATCACACATGTATACAGTTTACAGACATGATTGAAAAATATTGTTTTTATTAATACGCTCATTTCAACAGCATTAGTTTTCTCTTAATTAACTAAAAATTCTCTTTAGCACATTTCCTTTTAGGTAGATATTCCATAAAAGAGAAAAGTCCCTGTTGATATACATTTTAAAAGTCTTTTCATCTGTTTTTGTCTTTTAAAAAGACAAGTGGTCTAAATTGTAAAATGAAGTTTTTAGATAAGAATATTTTGGATTTTTTTTCTTTTGGTAGAAAACTATATTAATGGTATAACAAAAGAAAAAAATAAAACAATGTTTTGGAATGTTATTTATAAACAGTCATTATGTTTCTGCTTTAAATGTTTTCCTTTCGGCCTTCAACCTTAACAAAATAAAAATAAAGTTGAAAGTACCTTTCAATCAGTTTTACATTATTACTCATTGACAATTAAAGTTTACTAGTGCAGTTGAATTAGTTTTAATTTAACCACTGGGCAGTTTCAGTATCGAGAAAAAAATTGAGAAAAAACCCTGATAAGGACACTTGAATGGCAGGTGTGTTCCCAGCAGTTGTTTCATACTGCTCTGCCATATTTTCACATCCTTTTTGCTGTCCCTGACTCACGACCTGGCCAGCCATCTCCGGTCCGCTTCCCACAAGTGTTATTTGTTTGCGGGGCAGCGGGTACCGGGGATCGAACTCGGGGACCTTGCACTTGAGCGGCAGGCGGTGGAACCACTGAGCTAAATCCGCAGCCCCCACAGCCAGTGTGACTCCAGTGAGGAGAGCCTTGGTTTCCCTCTCTGACCACTTAACGTAGCACCTGGTCCCCACGGGCTGCAGCCACTCCATTCCCTAAATCTGTACCTGCTGTAAACCTGCTTGGATGCTTTAAGTATTTCACAAGACCCATCCAAGTGCTCGGTTTCCTTTGAGGTTCATTTGCTGTAAGAGGCACTTCACCGTTTATGTCGATTGAATTTATCTTTACCCCTGAAAAAGGAAACATGGTTGTTAAAAGTGTTTTCTTTTTAATCCAACACCTATTAAATACTCATTTATTTAGCAGATTGGCGGTGATCCCTACTCACCTGATGAGAGGACCATGAAGGCTCCTTCTGCTGGGCTCCTCCTAAGAAAAGACTTCATTAGTTTACGCACCTGACCCGTTAAGTGCATCCAGATTTGTCTCTAGCGAATTGGTGCCATTTGGTGCTAGGAGTGTGGTCTACTAGCGCCAGTTTGCGTTTTATTTGTACGTTAGCGCTGTCTCCCGTCTGAACTGTCGGTTTAAATCATCCTTAGACCTACAAACCTACTCCTGTGACATTACAAGATGTCCTGTATTTACTCCTTAATTTTGAAGGGCAAAATCAAGTTAACAGTCGAAGGCTATTTTTGAGTTACTTTAGTGTTTTTATCTTCCCTAGCTTGAGCTTTCGGAATAAATCACTAGCATTGTAAGTGTATGTAACGCTTGGCTTTGAGCTAGGAGATGGTAGAGATGAGACTGTTAAAATAGTATTCCAAAGAAAACATCAAAACCGTTTTTGTTTGCCTCTTCCGGCTAAACGTCTACAAACTGGATCTCCCTGAAAGCACCATTGTTTAATTAAGGAGCCTGGGCCTGGGAACAGCAACCTAACAGCCTCTGCTTTCTGAGTAAACAGATTCTTCGACCCCCCTGGTAAAGTGAACTTCTTCATACACCAGAATTTCGCCATCAGGATGAGCAAAGGAGTTTAGCAAAAAGAAAAAAGAAAAGAAATTAAGTTTTTGCTCCGATGGTCGCGTGACCGAGCCACGATTCTGAAGCCCTCGCGGGCCCAGCGAGCCCTTGTGGGAGCAGCACCTGTGGTCCGCAATGCCTTTAGGAGGAAGGGAGTTGGTGAAGCAACGTTAGGAGTGTGGAGCACAGAAGTACAAAGGCACCGCGCGACATTCACACGCAGAGCCGGGTCTTAGGTGCCCTGCACGCCTGGTCCTGACCAGGCACAGCTTGCTCGGCCCGGCCCGCATCGCCGCCGTCCTGGGGCCTCCTGTAGTTGGGAGCTTCAGAGAGCGGCAGTGTCACCCCGCAGGGCCTGTGCTTCTCGGTGGCCCTGCAGTGACTCGACCCGGGGAAGCCAGCGCGGTCCGTCTGCGCCCGCCCGGCGAGTAATGGGCTGTGCGGCTTCAGGAGAAAAATTAACAGTGTGTCCAGCGTGTCAGCCCGCTCTTTTTAGTGCTCGGGAGGTCCTGGCCCCATTAGGGATGATTTAGAAATCGAGGTGAGCAGGGCCAGCTGCGCGCTGGGCGCCTTTCCCGGCCCCTCATCTGCATTCCGGGCGCGCTGGGGGCCAGGAATTGGCCGAGCCCCTTCGGCCGCCAGGCGAGCGCGGCTGACAACGCCTTGATTTGTTGAGAGAGAATAAATAGGTTTTTCGGAAGATGAGGAAATATCACCATTACTGGCCAATTTACAGCATTTTATCTGTTCTTCAAACATGTCACTTTTGTTATTGGTGCATAGTAATTACGTGGTGAAACGGAAGGCGAACAAATTCCCCTACGTATTCAGATGGATTGCAAAATCGTACAATCCTGATAAATGCCCATTTATGATACACAGGGATGAAAGGTTCATTTTAATTTTGAATGGCTAGCTCAGCCATAAGTAGGATATAGGATTAAATTCTGGAGAATCTGATTACATCAAAGCAAATAGTTTTTCTCTTCACTTTTTCCGACTCAGGAGACACCACGAGAGGTGTTCACAGGCAGGACTGTCCTCAGATGAATCAAAAAGTGAATCCAGAATTCCTTTCTCAAAAGTATGAAACTCCCAGGGGCACTTGTGAGTCCTCTTGTTCTGGGAACCGCTCAGTCCTGAGCTTCCCAGGAACCTGGGGTACCCCGGCCACAGTACTTCCCACTTGGAGGGACAGCAGGCCGGCCACTGGAAGCGGAAGATCCCGGCCATGCTGCCAGTCTCACCAAACACTTGGAAACCAGAAACCAAATGTGTTCCTCCAGGATTATTTCTCCTCCATGCCCAGGCCAGCAAGGATAAAGGATGTTGCCTGTGGACCTTTAGCGAGGGTAGAGGTCATGAGAGGCACAGAGTTGAAAAGGAACAGGGAGAGTGGCACCCCAGGACCTCTCCTCCAAATATCAGGTGCGTGAAGTAAGGAGTCTTAGCTTAGCAGGACCAGGTGAGTGTGTATTACAGGGACCCTGTGAATACACACACACCTGCGTGATACAACAGCCCACAACTGCCTTGGACTGGGGCACGGGCGTGACACAGGACAGTTCACTTGGTGACCCATAGGCCTAAGCTAGCCAGGTGGAACAAGTAGCTCCCAGAGAACCCACCCCACTACAGGAGCACCAAGGACAGAGTTATGCAGCCTTCGGAAGAGGGCATAGGCAGACCCCAAATGTTAGGCAGCATTGATGTCAATTTGAAAATGTACCTTGATTTGATGTAATATGAGGAAGGAGAGGAAAGAAGGGAGAGGAAGTGGGGAAAGAGAAAGCAACAACCTGCTAAACTGTTCTCCGTGACCCGTAGTAACATGTATCCCAATTTCAGACATGTACTTTAAAATTATAAAATTTTATACTTTTTGAGCATTGGAGCAAAGAAAAATTCTAAGGGATATGAGGGCAAGCTGCATGGCTAGATGAGGCCGGCGCTGCCCCTGGAGGACCACGGGCAGGGCTCAGCAGGAGCAGCCCCTGTGTGCCTGGAAGAGATGCTGTGGGAAAGGCCCGGGCCCAACACCGCCAGTGCTGATCTCGCTCTGTTCAGTCCCTTGCTGAATTTAAGAAGATAACTACCTCACACGGTTCTAAAGATTTAGTAAAGTAATGCATATAATAATGCCCTGGTACAGTGTCTGACCGACAGCAGTGTTACTGGAGTGCTAGGTTTGTGTCCCGTGGCAACCAAGTATGAAACCAAGGCCAGCGCAGGTAGGCAGCAGACAAATTTTCTTAAAAGCTACGCAGGCAAGGAAGTTACAGACTTAAAGGCAAAGAAGTAGAGCTCCTACTAGTCAGAAGGGGTTCTGAGCAGGATGCCAGCAGGGCTCTTTGTCCAGGGCTTTGAAGGAGCTTAGAAGGGAGCCCTGGTGTTTTGTCAGCAACATAATCCCTTCCCTGTGGGAGACGGCCTACTTTCCTAGGCTTCAGTCTGTGCAGTGTTCAAGCAGTTTTAGGGTCCAGGCCGCACCCGGCCATGTGTCCTTATGCCAGTGGCCTGCCTGAATGTGCTCGGAAGAGGTCCAGACGGCCGAAGGACACCTGCAGGGTGTGGCTCAGCAGACTCCATTTTGGGCTTCCGGACTCCATTTTGGAGCTGTTGTCCTCGCTGCCCATCAGATTCTTAACTCCAGCCTCATGATCCCGTCATAGCAGGTGCTTTAAATCAGGTGCTTTCCCT